GAGAGAGAGAGAGAGAGAGAGAGAGAGAGAGAGAGAGAGAGAGAGAGAAGGAGAGAGTTGAGGTCGATGGACGCGGATTTGCTGTTTCTTTGTCTCTTCCCCCTCTTCATCTGTGTACATACATTTTGATTGCGGCTCCGGGCGGTTTGCCCGTTCTTATTTTCGCTTCGGCTTTCTGAATCTGGACTTGGGTTTTTGCTCACACTTGTCCTTGCGATGTTCGTCCCGATTGCATTATGTGTATGATTGACGAATGTATGGATGTATGGATGTTATGCCTGCTTGTCTATCTTTTTGCTGAGAATCCCTGTCCTTGCCTTTTGGTTTGAGTCGAATCTTTGCTTGAACGTGATGCAGCTGTAGATGGGATATCTAGCCCCGATAGCGATTTCGTTCTCGTTTCTGCTTGTCTCACGATGAGGTTGTGATATGGTTGCATCTTGCATAATCGAAACTTACGAAGCAATTAGACGATCCGAAGTCTGGCCCCGCGAACGCCGTGCGAGAACACGTGTAAACGCGATCCGAGTCGCGCCCTTACACGCATTCCCGCGCGTCGAATTGCCCACCCCAAAAAGATTCGCGGCGGAACCGTCATCCCGTACGAGTACGATGAGGCGCAACTAAGTTCGCCTGTCCTACACGTACTCTTGCGTGGTGATGATAACCTGACCAGAGCTATCCCATCTACAATGATACCATGACGCGATCTTGGAACTCAGACTCATCCTACGACCCGGATTATTTCACCCCTTGGATAAACGAACTCATAAGGCTGCGATACCCCTGTCACACGGAGAATCGACTATGTCCGCGGGAATTCCACTGCGCTACCTCTAGCGACCCTCGGTGCTCTGATTTCCCTTCCCCCGACCACACCTATTACTTCACCCACCCGGGATTTGTTGTCATCACCACCAGTTTCCCTCCTTTCTGCCTTCTTCTCCCGTATCATCTTTTAGTGTCGTTCCGTGGCCGGCCATAGCCCCCTATTGGCCCAATACGTTTTGTGTGAATTGCCGACGTAGCGGCGAACGGAGAACTCCGGAATTCCGAAGGCCCAATCCAAGTACGCGGCGGCCTGCGTCATGTGGCGGCCCCCGACGGCGTAACTTTTCGGGACCGCCTCCACCGCGGAGGGATTTCCCCGTAAACCGTAGCCCACAGTGCCCCGGCCCCATCGGACCCTGAGTCCCTCGCGCATGTGCCCCTTACTCGCCCAATTGCATTCATACCCTTAAGACTCCCCCACTTCCCCAAAAATCCTTGGCACACCCCTTTTTGCACTTCCAGGCCCATACCCCACTCCGATCAGGAAGTCGCGCTGGGCGTGAGGTTGGGCGTCACAGGCTGGCATAGGGACTCGGAGGGGGATTTGCAGGTAGGGGGGGGAGGAGAGGATGAACAGAGGTGGGGAGACCTACTTTGCTTTGCCCTTGCGTCAGCTTACTCCTGTTGCATTACAGACCACGTTGTTGAGGTTCTTCAATCTCCTCTTTCCTGCTACGCATGCCTCTCACAGCCGCTCCTATTCCCCCACACCGAAGCCTTTGAATACTATTTTCTGGATTCCCCTGTCTCTTTACTCCTCCTGCGGCTCACGGACAATACTCCTCCAACCTCCTGATCCAACTTTCCAAGTCCTCCTCTCGCCTCTTCACATGCGCCTTCACCCCTACCTCCTCTTTCCCCGGTCCGATTTCCTGGTTACCCGCCCTCTATATCTTGTCGTCCAACGTTGCCCCTCTTTTAACACCGTCCGATCCTTTCTTCTTCTCGCCCGTTCTCCTCCCGTGCGCCTCTTCAATCCTTGTTTAACTCACCCCCCGTCCTTCCTTCATGAATCTATCTCCTCTCTCATGTCCCCGCGATGTCTTTCTGCAGATCCCTAGCGCCTGGTTATCTGCCCACTATACCTTGGCATCTACCATACGATCCTTTCTTCTTCTCGCCCGTTCTCCTTCCACGCGCCTCTTCACACCCTGTTTTACTAGTCTATCTCCTTTCTCGTGTCCCTGCGATGTCTATTCCGAGGATCCGTAGCGATCGTCTCCTGCCAAAGTCTCCGCAGCACAGCTTCATCGCCTTCACTCTCCCTCACACCTCACAGACCACTCCCCTGATATCGCCTTCTACCCTTCATCTATCCTCTTTTATACTCACCCCCCTTCCTACCTATATGATGCCTTCTCCTTTTCACCGCGATGTTTCACCGATGATCCATCCCTTTTCCATCTGTCCCAGTCACCGCAGTCGCCCGCCGTCCATCGCTCCTCGCAATTGTGTTGGTGGAGACCAATTTCCACCTCTGTAATTTCATGGGGTTTGAACAGCCCAAGCCTTCTCCGCTACCCACCATCGACGCCCGAAAGCGCCGGTCACTTTCCACTGCCCTAGGTTGGCAGCAGCTATGGCGGATCTCACGGGGGCCAAGGTTCCACAAAGGTTCTGCCCCTCGTGTAACCCGTGCCCTACCCAGTGGCCGCGTCAACCTGTGACGTGGCATTGGTTAGCGCCCGGTTGTTCTCTCTGCGCCTGCTTGGACCTGTTGTTTGATGACCCACACACGGTAAGCAAAATTGCAAAATCTCCTGCTTCTCCTCATTCTCCATTAGTCTGTCTCTTCTTTTTTGGTCCCTTCGGTCTTGTGCCTCACTCCCATGTCCCGCGGTGAGAACTACGACGATTCCCAAGGCCCATCCCCTCCCTCGAGATAAACATATCTAGAGAAACAGATCCACTTCTGTTCAAATCTGATGGATAGAACAGCCTTAGGTGCGCCTAACGACCCCCCCCCCCCCGTGCATCCCCCCTGCCCCTCTCTCCCCTCAAGTTTCTAGAAGAAGGAAGAAAGAAATGATCTGGTGTCTATGATTGGCCTTGGGTGGTGGTTGGTCTTGCAGACATCCTTGGTGCAGATCACAGAGGAGCGGCGTAGGTTCCTCGGGAAGGTGGGATTCAGAGAAGACGAGCCCGAGACAGCGAAGTAGGAGACCCACTCCCACGACTTGTCGTTTATCGATGCGCTTGCGGACGTCGACAGCAGTTGACAGAGGCGAAGAAAAATGCGTCCTCTTTGGTGTCCCCTTTACAGCAAAAGATCACTGGCAGATAATGCGCAAGTCCTTGCACGGTAACGGGCGCGGGAGGCCAGCATGCGGAGCAGCACCGCAACAGCGATGGGGATTTGAGGGGAGAGTTCCTTGGCAACAGGCAGGTCTCTTGCTCTCAACGACCATACCACCCCCTTTTCTACCCTCCTCCTTCCTCCTCTCTCTATATATATCCTATACTGGCAATGGGAGGGCCGGGGGGAGAGAGAATAAGGAACTAACTTCCCAGAAGATAAGACACCTGTTAAAAGGGAGGGAGGGGAAAAGAAGATAAGAGATAAGGCACCGGTTAAAGGGAGGAGGAGAAAGGGAAGAGGGGGGGGGAGGGAGTGGAAGAGAAGATAAGCAACTGCCCAGAAGGTGGCAAAAAGAACAGTTTCAGAAATAAGACTCACCACTAAGACCTTTGGATGGAGCTCTGGACGTAATTGCGGTCAGATACGTGCACATCAAGCTGTAATTCCGATCAGATACATGCAGGAAAGTCCTAGTGTTAGTATGCCCCCTCAGTATACCTTATGCTGTGTCTGCTTTTTTCTCCGTCATTTGTCGAAAAGGTGCACTCGTCCCGTTGACAGATAGATGCTTCGGCAAATGGACAGTATAATAATATATACTAGACCAGGGTCACCAGCCCGTACGTACGGAGGTCCCCGGGCCGACCTCCGTACGTACGGGCGTTCGGGGTCCGAACCCGAAGGCATTCGGCCCCTGCCAAAAAAAAATTCGGGGCCTAATTTTTTTTTTTTTTTTGTGAGTTCTCTATGACGTGACGTACATGCCTATAAATTTTGACGTCATTTGGCTCAGCCAAATAAGAATTAAAAATCGCCAAAGATGGCGGTGTCAAAACGTGCTCACCCACAATTTTTTTCACTTTTTACTTTTTGTTTTCACTTTAGTTTGGGGTCTAAGCAATTTTATTATTTTTTGAAACTTTTTTAGTGGGTTTTGTATTATGTGAAGTACACATCTGTAAATTCTCAGGGCATTTGGCTATGTCCCAAAAAAATGAAAAATCGTCAAAGATGGCGGTGTCAAAAACGTGCTCGCGCACTCACTAAATTTAATTCTCTTTTTATTTTTTGTTATTTTTATTATTCCTATTTGTTCTTTGTATTTTATTTTTATTTCAAATTTGGTAAGGAATTTGGATGTAATGCTCAGGTAAATCTTGTTTAATTTATTTTTCAGCATGGCTGTGCCGGCAACCGGCCGGTTGGACCGGCCCGGATCCAACTGGGCCGGTTGGACCCCCGGTGGTCCAACCGGAATTCCGGTTGGGTCCAAAAGTGGGTCAAATTATTATTATTATTTTTTTTGAAAACATGGTTGGACTGCGCTCACCAAGATCTCCCCGAATCCACAAAGAAAACTTTGAACAGAGAAGTTTCGTTTGGGGGGTTGGGGGGTTGGGGCGGGGGTATTTCAGGGGTTGAGGGTCGGGCGTTGGGGGGTTTATGGTGAGGGTGTTAGTGGTGGAGTTTCAGCACGGGCTTCAGCAGACATTGACAACAACGTACCTGGCTTTCTGCAAACGTTGACGTTCTTCCAAAGAACTTTGAAGAGGGGGGTGGGGGTGTAGTGGCAGGGTAGGGACGGTACTTCCCACCCAAAAACTTTGAAAAGGGCGGTAGGGATTGTAGTGTTAGGGGGTGCTTCGTCCAAATTGCCCTCGATACTGGTAGGGTGATGGTCCTGAGTGCTGGTCACACTGGGGTCTTAGTGGCAGGGTAGGGACGGTGCTTCCCACCCAAAAACTTTGGGTGGGGGTTATAGTGTTAGGGGGTGCTTGTCACTGCTGTCTGGTGACTGCCCTCGATACTGGTAGGGCGATGGTCCTGACACTGAGGTAGGATAGTAGGGATAGGGGGTGCGCTGGGAGCATTAACGTGGGGAAGGGTAGGGA